CCTGAACTCTGCTTATAGAACAAGCGCAGGAACAAGACGTGTGTTTGGCTTCACAGACGTGATGAGCGTCACTGATGACCCTTTTTAGACCAGAAGTGAAGGTTTATTTATGTTTGAGCCACATCTGAAAAATCTGCACCAAATTCTACAAGACATCAAAAGACACACTCCACAAAAGAATTCCACAACGCCAAAAGTCTATCTGACACCGATAACGTCCTTGGCACCAAAGATCAAATATCTACGCATCACCGAAATCAAAAGCAGGTTTTCATTCCTGTCATTTCAATGTATTCTCATGAAATGGGTCGTATGGCGTCCTATGAATTAGCATCCCATAACTGCTGTTAGGTCCTTAACTTGTGCTATTAACGTTACGTTAAAGAGGTTAGCTTTAGGCAAATAATGTTACTGTGGTCAGGTTTGGGCAGAGAAACATGAGGACGTACCTTAAAATAGCTCAAAGTTCACATGGTTCTGAACATGTGACTCCAGGGAAAAGTCTCAGGGGAAAGTCAACGTTTCTGTGACAATATTCTCCACGTCAAAAATGTAAATCACCGAAATCAACCTTTGGTTTAAACTAAAGGTTTGGAATAACGTTAGTTATGTGGCACCAAAATTCTACTTAAAACCAATGCTTAAAGTAATTTTCCATATCAAACATCTCCAAAAATTCTTCAACCCCAAATCTATGACACTTAAAATCTACTTGATGTCAACAAATGTAAACAACACCATAACTGAAGGACGCATAGATGGCGACTAATAGCATCCCGACCATGTCGTTCTACACACAAAAATGGACTCTACACAAACAATTTAAACCAAACCAAAACTACACTCCACACCTTGCACAAATTATACTCAACTCCAAAATCTACTCAAATCCAACAACTTGTGTTACTCTGCAACTTCCTTCAGGCTATAAAGGTACGTCATGAAGGAAGTTGCTGAGTAACATAAGTTGTTGGATTTGAGCAGATTTCGGAGTGACCTATAACCTGTACTAACCTGTTTTGTGGCATGTTGGTGACACTGAACGTACAAGGAAAAGAGCCTGTTGCCCATTCTCAGCAGGTTTTCCAGTGTTTAAAAAAACTTAATTTACCCACTTAATTAGTCAGGAACAATTCAGGTTGTCTTGTGAACGTACATTTTAAATACCCCAGATGACGGACTATCAGAGCTGCAGGCTCATAAAGCTCTTTCCAAAATCCATTTATCATAATCTTTGAACTGCAGCGTCATCGTGAATGTACAGCAGCCTTCTCTCTGTATTCCTGAACAGCAGCAGCAGCGAGCGCTCTGCGTTAAAAACATTCTGTGAATTATAAAAAAGGTTCATCTTCAGTGTTAATGCAGGTTTAACATCATGGGATCAGTTCTGCCGAGACGTGACCTCAATACTCTCCCCTTACTCTCAATGCAGAGACGGCATGAAATGAATCTTTAAAGAGACTTTGGCCCTAATCGAGTGAACTGACCCGAGCCCTCTCTGTCTCTCTCCTCTCAGTCATCTGTTTATTCCCTCGCTCCGCTCTGTTTATCAGCTGCAGTGTAAAGTCTGAGTCATGCTGAAGCTCAACAGTCACTCCTCAACTTAACGGAGCATTCTGCAGATGTTCAGCCCGTCCTGTCCGTACTGTCCACACTGCGGATAGCCATTCGTTGTCATGTCTTTATTGATTCATACATTTGCTCAGAATTCCATTTAATGACTTTTCATGGCGCCATCCCAGCATGGAACGATGTCTCAGCAAAAAACAACCGCATTTCATGGCACTCTGATGGCAGAAGCGACGACTTCGTAGAAAACAAACACCTTTCGTCGCACAAACCCTGACGAAAAATGCAGCAATGTCTTGATAAAATCAAACGCTTTTGTAGCTCTGTCCCGGACGAAAATGTGAAGATGTATCAGTAAAAAACAACCGCTCTTCATGACACCATCATGGCAGGAAACATGCAGCGATGTCTTGGTAAAAAACATCTACTTTTCTTGGCACTATTAGACCAGGACACACAGCAGTAGCTCAGTAAAAATCAACTGCTTTTTGTGAAACTCTCCCGGCAGGAAACGCAACGACTCGCTAAACAGCTGGTTTTGTTGTTTGTTGCTCGGCAGGCTCTCGCCTCGGTAAAACACCATCCACTGTCTCCTCCACCTCAAGAAGACAAAGTCAGCTCTTGAGCTCCATCACTGTAGAGACGACATGTATTATACTTGTGTAAAACGTACGAATGTGTTCATGGTTTGCAGAAACCTACAATGCCAACCTTTTCTTGTGTGGCGATGGCAGATATTTGATGACTAGAATTTGATCCATTCTCCTCCAAAATTGTTGGAAAATCTGGAAGAGCTGTGTCATTATTATCATGTCTACTTTATGCTGTTCATCTGTGCAGGAAGTCTGTAAATCAGTGGTTCCCAACTGGTCCAGATTTTTCCTTCGTCATCAGATCCAGGTCGACACAGTTTAATATTTTCGGTGTCAAACTTGTGTTTAGTCATGTCGTCGAGTTAGTTTGCTCTTTGTCAAGTAGCTCTCTGTTAGTCAGTCACTCTGCGGCAGGAAACTGTACCTCAAAATGCTGCCACAGAAATGAACTACATTTCAAAATAAGACCAAGTTATCTCACTAAGAATCCACTCACTGGGACCGACCAGTTGGGAACCAGGGCTGCGCGATATATATCTATATTTTTTTTTATTGTCATCACCATGTCAGCTTGTGAGAGTGTATTAGCAGAAACTTGAATTTTAAAATGTGACTATCATTCTCTTGATTCTCTTGACAGTTGAGTACACTTTGATATCAACCTAAGTAAGTAGTTAAATAACAAAGACCTTTTATTTTGGTGAAAATAAAGAAATCTGCGCCATATATTGACGCAGAAAAGGCTCAGACTGGTGCAGAAATTTACCAGAATGCAGGAAATTAACCTTTTGACCCTCAGTATTTCCTGGTGATGGACCCTCAGACCATTCACTTTGTTCATGTCCCCCTGATGTTGAAACAAAACTTTCACCCTTGATCACATGTTTTCCTCATTTCGTGCAGTCCTGTTGGGTAGTTCTGCTCTCATGGCTCATTTTGTAGGGTCAAATATGACGTTTTAATCTAAAACCATCGTTTGAGATATTAATGTTCTGGTAAAGTTACATTATATTGATTAAACAACACGAACAGGGATGCTCCAGTCAATCAGTTTTTTGCTACAATCCAGATCTGAGTCTGACAGTACTGAGTCCGATCAGACGCTTAGATACTGACATGTTGACACGTCGTATAACAGCCGTAGATACTGAACCTGACATGTTATGTTTTCATGAGCTGTTGAGTCAAAATCCTGCAGATTCTGGTTTAAAACTGTGAAGTTTATGAGCATAAATTATTGATCTGATATGAATAAAAGATAAACTGAGAGAATGTGACTCCTGAGATCGACATGATCAGCTGGAAAGAAGACGTCTCGTCTTTTAAATAATCTTTGTCAGAGTGCAGACTGCTGAGGTGGAGGACGGAGGGTCGGCGGTGCAGATGGAGGCGTGAGGTCAGGTTCCTCCCTCATCATGTCGGCGGAGGGAGGAGAGATGACGAATCTCATCAGAGGACAGCAAGCTTGAAATTGGCTTTTAATGAATGGATCAACTTGATCGGGTCCCTGAAAAGCTTTATCTGGTTAATTATCTGACAAAACGCAGAACTCTAGTTTTCACTCTAGTTCTCTGGACGCTGTTTTAGAGCATTTTCCACCCTGAAGGTGATAAAAGTTGGCAGGAAACGCTTTTCAAAGTTCCTGAATTTCCTGACAATTGTTAGTGTTACAACAGAACTGAAAATTAGGACAAAATGTTGAGCTGTGAAATCTAAAGTTTGATTTGTTTTCATGATGAGAGAGGTAAAGTGTCTCCGATTCGCTTACCAGTTAAATATTACGTTAAAAAATACAAAACAATAATAGAAATCTGTAATATCAGGACAAAGGTCGACTGTTAGCCATTTTTTAAATAAATTAAAGATCAAAAAAATGTGGAAGCCAAAGTATGTGTGTGTGTTGTTAAATTATTATTTTTTTAAATGTATTTGTATGTGTCCACACCGGAGATAGCCGTTACTGGAGGCATGATGTCTTTGGGTTGTCCATCTGTACGTCTCATTTTCATAACCCTGATATCTCAAGAATGCTCTGAGGAAATTTCTTTAAATTTGGCAGAAACATCCAATTGGACTTTGAGATGAACTGATTAGATTTTAGTGGTCAAAGATCAAGGTCACCGTGACCTTGCATCCATCTCATTCTTGTGAATGTAATATCTCAAGAACACCTTGAAGGTCTTTTTTTAAATTTTGCACAAACGTCAGATTTGAGTCACCGACGAACTGATTAGAATTTGGTGGTCAGAGTTCAGGCTCGGTGTGACCTCACACAACATGTTTTTGTCCATAACTGAAGAATTCATTCACTAATTCTGACAAAAATTCAGAAGGTCAAAAGGTCAAAGGTCAGCTTGACTGTGACATCATCATGTTTTAACATCATATCTCAGGAACAGAAGGGGAGACATTTGGTCAGATACTGAATTGGTGACTCTAATCTGAAACTGTGCTGATTGTATAGATCTTCTGTGTGTGAAGCATCCATGTTTTCACTGACATGGATGCAGACTGAAAATGAAAATATGTGGGAAAGGTGTAAATTGCATTTTGTCTGCTTGCAAAAAGACAGAAACATTTGGGATGCCTGAGGACGTGCAGGTGAAATCAGTATAAATAAATGTGCTTGTCATAAACAGTCGGGCCACAAGTTAATAAAAAAGAAAGAGAGATGTTAATAAAAAGATGATAAAGATGTCGACAGCCTGCGAGGACACCACACCAGCCTTCAGTCCCGTCAGGCTGAAACTCATCAGATGTTCATTGTGTTTGTTGTAAAACTTTATGATGATGTTTGTTCTGACTTTTCTGCTTCATTGATGCTCTTCTCGTTCTCAGGACGACGACACTCGGCAGGGTAAAGGTGCAGCTGCTGCCCGGCGCCCCCTGCAGGCCAAATGTGGCGTCTGTAAATGATAAAGTGACGTGTTTGTGTCAGGTCAGTGTCTCCTTCCTCTTCACTTCTTCTGTCTGCTGACGCAGTCAAAGTAAACTTTTGAACATTATTCAGTGACACTCATGAATGGATTATAGGGTGATGGGCCGCCGGGCAGCGTCTGATAAAAGGCCCCCCACCTACCTGCTGTGGCACCTCGTGTCCCTCGTGTTTGATCTGAGTCTCACTCAGTGATTTGTGAAGGTAAACAGTGACTTTAAAGTTCTGCTGTTGTTTGAGAAATGAACCTGAACTTCTTAGCTTTGTCATGGTGGAGATGAAATGAGGCTTCCTGCTGCTAACTTCAGCGTGCAGCTGCGTTATATATGAACAATTATGATAACAAATAAAGCCACAAGCAGCGCCTCAGGGGTTTGAGTCAACACAGACTGTTAAAAGGATCATAATCTTTGATGGTTTCTGACACATTAAAGACAACCAACAGGTTTCATGACGATCAGACAGATGTTTGCTCATTTAGAGCAGATCTGTGCAGGGCCACGCTCCTCTGCCACAGCAGCACCGCCCCGTGTTGGTCCATCTCAAAAACATGTTTGGGACATGCTTCAACAGCTTAATTAAAAATGTCCACAGAGTTTGGTGATGTTTGGACAAACTGTCATCGATTCATGGCCAAAGTTTGTGCCAAAGCAAATCACTTATTTGGCACTAGTGGCGCCCCCTATTGAGGGATTTCAAAATGATTTTACACAACCAGTTCAACATTGTTACAAAAGATATTCTGTGAGTTCTGTAATGATTTGACAAATGATTTCTGATTTATGATAGGCCACGCCCATTTTTTCACTTCTGTTTTATACACGCAGATGCTGAACTCGACTTTTTGACTTTTACTTTGTGAATTTGGGGTTACACTGTGGTTACGTTACCTAACCAACATTAACTTTACTTTCCCAAACCTAACCTGCGTAACTTTACTTTGCTGAACCTAACCAACATAACTTTACCTTTCTTCACCAAAACTACGTAACTTTACTTTGCTAATCCTAGCCTACGTAACTTTATCTTCCTACACAAAAACGTTAACTTTACTTTGCTAACCCTAACCTACGTAACTTCACTTTGCTAAATGTAACTTTACCTTCCTACACAAAAATTGTTTACTTTGCTTTGCTAAACCTAATCTACGTAACTTCACTTTGCTGAACCTAACCTTTGTTGTCATTGTGATAGCGACTTGTCAACAGACAGTACCCACCTGTCACTCAAAGCCTCCATGCCCTTAATTATGCATAACATTAAGTATAAATAATATAAGCAGGTGATTTATATGTAAATTCAGCCCCTGTACAGTTGTCATGAATGTTAAAATTAGCTCCAGAGACCAAAACTGTTTTTGTACCAGGAACTGCAGTTTTTGGTGCGTCCATGTTAATCAGCCCTGAAGGTTGTAGCCTGAGGCAAACTTCGAGTCCTGTTTTCTTTCCGGAGCTTTTCCTTTTCTTTGGAGCATATGAAGGACTTTGTTTACACCAAATCTCTTCTATCGTCTGTTCTGTGTTTTAGTTGGTGAATACGGCGGTTTCAAGACTGCTACTGATTCTGACTCTGCCCTGATAGTCCAGTGGTGAAGGAGCTGAAGTCACGAAACCTGGTGTCTGTTGTTGAATCGTGGTTGTAGATGAGGCAAAGCATAACTCCAACCGTTTTGGATTTCTGGAGAGAACGCAGGTAAGTTTCTCTCAGTAAATATTACCATAAAATACGCATTGACAGATGGAGATATTAACAGCAGCTCTGGTTGGGGTTTGTTTTTTCTTGTAAACCTGACGGTGCATAAGAATAAATTATTATTAATTTGAAGCCCCCTCCTGGGAGAAGACCATAAAGAGGCAGATAATAATTCATAAATAAAAAGGTCAGAGATAATGTTTCTTTGACTGAGACAAACACATAATTAAATTCCATCAGTGTGACATTACAATATGAATTCATAATGGGCAAAATTTTTAATTAAAGATAACAGAAAAACAAGACGACAAGCCGTTTATCACACGCAGGAGTTTCTGAGGGTTTTTCTAATGAAGTTTGGTGCTGAAATATGACAAGAGACACAGTCAGAGAGAGCTGGAGGCAAGGTGAGTGCAGACAGGGGAGGAGGTGAGAATAATGTTCCCTCTGGGGGGAGGAGGGACAGACAGAAGGAGCAGAGGGTGAAAGGAGGACGGACGTAGAGGTACGATGCTGCCTAGAGATGTGATGATGTTATTTAAGAACATATGGTTTCCTCCACGGCTCAGGAAGATGACCTTAACGCTCTCCGTCTCCTGCTATCGCTCATTCATCAAATCCCAAAACATCTCTGTGTTCATCACAGACAGATTATGGCCCAAAAATCAATTAATTTTGTTACAGATTAGTAAGGATAGACCGATACATCGGCCGGCCGATATATCGGGCCGATATTTGAGTATTTGAGTTTATTTTCATCGGCCGATACGCGCGTGGGTTCGCGGATTTATTTTTCCCTGGCACTTTTTTTCATTTGAAAGTATGTGGTTAAGTTGAACAAAGCTGTTGAATCCTACTGTGTACAGTAGTTGTTGTTTTATTTATGCTTCAGCTTAAATATTTGTTTATTTTATAAAGACATTACTGGAAGATTTAAGAGCACTGAACTCTTTTTTTTATTTGAATGTATAATAATAATAATAATATTCTACCTGTTCTACCTCAACTTTCCATCTTGTTTTAGTATTTTTTACTGTTCAATAAATGTTTCTTATTTTAAACTTGAGACCTGTAATATTTGTTATCATTGTGTCATTTTTTTTATGTAAATTGAGGAAGCAAAAGCAGTATTGGCCCCAAATATCGGCTCAACAAAATCGGCAGTCCATAATCGGTCATCGGCTAAGGGTGATGGAAAAAAATCAGTATCGGCATCGGCCCTAAAAAATCCATATCAGTCTATCCCTACAGATTAGTGGATTCTTGGTCCGCTGAGGGTCTCGCTGTCCTTGGATCTCGCTTATCAGCTGTACAGTTTTCTGCTTTAAACCATGCATTACATTCAGAACCAGTCCTGAGCACGAGGACCAACAGTCCCCCGCAGATACAACACTGATTCCTGAACTACAGACACACTAATCCCCATCATGCTTCGTGGTTAGACTGTAAACTGTCGTTCCTGAAGATACGCAGCTCCGTGTTTTTTTTTTTTTTTGTTTGGTTTTTTTTTGGAAAACAAGTTAATTGTGTCTTCCAGAGTGAAACGAAAACATTAAAGCTTTGTTTTTCTCTGGTTTCTCCAGAACTGCATCACTGAGCACCTGAGGCTCCACAGCCGAATGTCACTGATAATGAACTGTTGCGTTTGGTCCCATTAATAATAACTGACAGCTTTATTTTTCTGTTATGCTGAAACTGTTCAAAGGTGCAACGACTAGAAGGTAAATTCAGGGTTTCAGCGCACGTTTGGAAAAGTATGAAACTCAGTTTTAGTAATTTACAGATCTGGATAAAGTGGAAAAAGGAAAAGAGAGTCAACCATTCTTAAAGGTTGGGACACATCATGTCCCCCCCCCAAAAAAAATTCTTCTAAATTCTAACTTATCAGCAGCAGTTTCATATCTGGAGTCAACTCGAGTCAAACATTATTTTTAAAGGATTTATATGTATGAAATAAATACGACTAAAACGTTTTTATCTGCTTTTATTTATTTTTTTACTTCTAAACTTGTCCTGTGTCAGAAAACAGCCTCGTCCCAGACGAACATTCACAACTTCAAACTATTGAAACGGGTTTTAAATAAAAGCCTTCAAAATCTAAAACTAACAGTACGTACTAAGAACATCTGTCAAAATGTTCTGCTATAATCAACTTTGTTTTGAAATATATTTTATTTAAAAATGTTTGGCTCTTTAACCTCTTGCACTCCACCCCCCTTTTGTGTCAAAAACGCCTAAAATGACATACCCAAATTAAAATGACTGTAGCTTCTGAACCGCTCTGACTACATGCATGCATGAGGTCTTGCCAGAAAGAAAACTCCCTGAAGTTTCTTGTGAAAGTGTCAGAAACACTCTAGGTGATACAGAGACAGAGTAATGGGCCTCTGAAGTCAGTAAAAAGTTGAAGATTTTGCCTAAAATAAAATAAAAAATGTGTTTCAGGATGAATAACTGTCTGTGGCTTCATCTGAGCAGGTAAATGACACTGTGGGGCTGTAGACACACTATCAATGAACACTTGTTTCAAATTTGAAGAAGACTGCTCAAAGTATGACCATTCTACAGTGTTTTTACCATGAAAAGATCCAGGCGGAGCTCCAAATGACAAGTGGGTCACTATGCTTCAAAACAGTACTATCAGTGATCAAACAACACTCAGCCAGCTTCAAACATTGTACCTTATTGAAATCAGGTGTGATTATGATAGCTGATGTTGTTTATGACACAGAAACACCATAAAATATCACCAAATAAAGCCATATGAAACATGAAAGTTATGATCCCACTTTCTAGACGGTATATCTCAGCCAAAAATAGTGGTAGGAGTGAGACTCTTGCCTTTTATAAACCAGCTAAGTCCCCGCTAACAGCTCCACATAAGATCGCGAGTAACTTTTCCTGTTGAAAAACGGCATGACATGACTTGTCACCACTCATCATGATTTTGGACTTTGTGTGTTTAGGCTACTCTGGTGCCAAATACATAATAAATAAAAGAAAAACGATGTTATTTTTGAAAAGTCGAGAGCTGCCTGAATCCAGCAATACCAAACATCACATGGTTTGATGACGTAGTGCGCCTGGGAGATACCATTTAACAGAGGAGGGGGGGAGCGAGGACGTCGGCGTCCTGGCGGAGTTAGAGAGGTGATGTGTCCCAGACTTATCAAAAACTCTTTCAACAAAAACATTATTTAATCAGGTATAAAATGAGTTCACTACATCACACTGACTCCATTTTCATTTCCTGGATTCCAAGGTGTGAATGCTCCTCAGGCTCTGGTCAGATTTATATCTTTTGAAGAAGTCATGTTCTATCAGGTGTATCTGAACTGTAACCAGTTCTAATCCACGCTAAATGAGAACGATGGTTTTAAAAATGAGTATTTAATCAGCATTAAAAGAACTCTGAGCAGCTCTGATAAATAAAATGTCTCCTCACTACAGCTGCTGTGAAATTAATGAATATATAAATGTATGTCAGCTCCGTCAGATCTGTCCTGTGACATCCATCATGTGTGATATTAAAGAAAATATTAAATCACTTGGAGGTCGGTCAGTTACAAGGTTCAATAGTCAAGACTTTGATGTTTTAAAATATATTTTCAAAGCCTCCTGGTTCAACATTACAGCTGAATTATAGTGCATTATTTTTCATATGTCGAAGTACGAATGGTAAATCAGGGCAGCCTGTGTCACACCTTCCTCATTTCTCTTTACTGCACAAAAAACCCTCTGACACACACACACACACACACACACACACCTTATTATTCTAATAATCCATGTTATAATCTGCTCCGTAACCTTAAAGGAAAACACATTATTACTCCGCTGCAGAGCTAATAAATCACCTGCTGACACTGACATAAGACTCAACATGTTAACAGTACAGAACACTCAGACTGTGTTACCTCTCCGTCGTGCTCCTGCTTCACGCCTGCTCGTGTTTCTAAAACTCTTTAAAGTGGAGCCAAAGTGACCAACAGTGTTCACGTCTGAGACAATGCAGGAAAACATGGTCTGCATGTCTTCTGCAGGGACATGACTCACCCCGACACTTGACTAGATGGAGTTTCCACTCCATTTGCCAAAAGTCAAAGTGCCACAACGATCGGCGTGTTTACGGCGGCGGATTCACCCGTCCATCCCGAACTCCACCTCCAGCTCTCCCTGAGAATCACCTGAGCGCCCTCCACGTGTCCCCGACAGCAGCCAGAGTGTCCTCGACTCACCTCGTCTCTCTGAGGCTGAGACTTGAAGTGTTATTTGTTCTGAGCCCAGACAGCTGTGGAGCCGTCATTGTGCCGTCTCAGTGCAGACTGTCATGCCAGCAGCTGACGCATGAGACCAGAGCTCAGAGATAACGGGGCCAAGCTGAGACGTCTTTTGTTTCTGGTCGGGACGCTGGTGGCGTTTTCTTCCTCTGACTTTCTCTCGTTTAGTTCCTCACCACTGGCGCTGATAACCACCGTGACTGAACGGATAAAGAAAGTTTTCACATCCTTTACTTGAGCCAAAGTAGCCTCATACCTCAAAGTAAAAATACTGTATCAGTAAAAGAGTTCTACAAAGTAAAAGCATTATCAGCTGAATCGACTTCAAGTGTCAAAAGTAAATATTTATATTTAGTAGCTTAACATGTTTGAACAGCGTGGAAAAGTAGCGGAAGCATGGAAAAGTATCAGAAGCATGGAAAAATATCGGAGGTATGGAAAAGTATATGAGGCATCGAAAAGTATCAGAGGACTGGAAAAGTATCAGAAGCATGGAAAAGTATCTGAGGCGTGGAAAAGTATTGGAGGCATGGAAAAGTATCGGAGGCGTGGAAAAGTATTGGAAGCATGGAAAAGTATATGAGGCATCGAAAAGTATCAGAAGCATGGAAAAGTATCTGAGGTATGGGAAAGTATCGGAGGCGTGGAAAAGTATCGGAGGTATGGAAAAGTATCGGAGGCATGGAAAAGTATCGGAGGTATGGAAAAGTATCAGAGGCA